CTATCTGGCAGTAAAGTCATTGACTCCTTAGGGAAGACATTTAAAAACTCTTGAACTATAGGAACACTACTCAAAGATGTAGGAGAGATCCTAACATCTCTAACATATGTTAAAAATACTAGATTTCCTTTTTTCTAAAGTCCATCCACTTCTTGTGTACAAATCAGACAATAAAGAACACCCCTAATTTCCTAAAATATAAAGCTCTAACCACTCTAATATAGAGCCACTATCTTCACCAAATAATTGATCTGAGTCCCATACCGATTTATCTCGTATATATCCAAAATAATATAAATGCAAAAAATAGTCAATATAATTAAACAAAATCTCTAAACCCCATAAAAGATCTTCAAATCACAAAAATAAATCTTGCTAGCTACCATTTTATCTCCCATGAGCAAAACCATAGACAAATAAATCGACAGTAGTATGGAAGGCAAATCAAAAGAATCAAAATATTGATCTAATATGAATGAATGATTAACAATCAAATCAAATAAAATATGATAAGGAGATGTAGAAATATAAGCCATACATGTCATAACATCTGGAGATTCACTGGCCTCTTACTGTGTTAAATTATAAACCGTGGCTATATTGGAGTCAAAGCAAAAAAAACTTCTTGTGCCTTGTGAACCTCTAGAATACTAACCTTATGATGACATACCAACACTTTAGTCACCAAAAACCTCAGAATATAATTGGTGTGATACTATCCTTGGCCTACCCACAATCGGCTGCCAAGAACTATCAGTCCTCAAATCAGAACATCTATCAAAGCCACTTTGTGGACACTTAACAATCTTGTTTTCATACTGACCATAGTAAAAATACCAGCCCAATGCTCTGTAACACTAACCACTTTACCTCTTACTATAATGTTGGCATAACGGTGCCCTAGTAATGGAACCTTCATAGCTAGAAATACTTCCCCTATCTTATCTAGAAACAATTTCTACCTATTATCCCCTCCTAAACTCACCAGGTCCAAATCTTCTCTTCTTCCTAGAATGACTAGTGTCAACTGTCTTATTACCAAACCTTTTCCTTGCTTACAGTCCAACACTATTGAACTACTACTGAATCAATCTCTATCTACTTGGCCTTTTTGACTAATTGAGAAAATTTTATAATATCTTATGTTAATAATGGCTACCTCAAATCATCTCAAAGTCTCTCTAAAAATTGGTAACACTTCTACTTAGAAGTACCAATCAACTATGGAACTTACTTGGAGAGAGTAGTAAACTCTGTCGCATATTGCATCATAGTTATATTTCCTTGAATTAATTTTAGAAAGATCTATGTAACTATCTTCTAACAGATAGAGGTACAAAATACGTCTTGAATGTTTCTATAAACTCCTCCCAAGTGATCAGGGTATTCGCACTACCCTCAAACTTCTCCCTCTGTTGGCCCAACCAGCATTCTGCCTCACCATCCAACAAAAATATAGCTAATGCAACTTTTCTCTCAGGAGGTCAATGCATCCCATCCAGAGTCTTCTCTATTCTCATCAACCAATTCTGAGTTCCCCGAGGTTCAATAACACTTGAAAGTTTGGAAGGTTGTAACCGTATGAAATTCTATAAATACTTATCCATATTATCAGATCAGGAACTAGAAACTCGCGTATGATCTTTACCTATCATCTATGCCACTATACATATAATCTGAAAAGCTACTTCATAACTAATTACAAGGGTTGTACCCTAAAATTGAGCTACCTAACTAGAGCTCAATTGTTGGTCATATCTAGATCTGGCTAAGATTGGTCAGTCATATTGAACACAACTATATGCAATATATGCATATGAAAAAATAAATAAAACGAGCACCCAAACTATCCAGAATTATGACTCTTCTACAAATTAAATCTTATGGTACTATTACGATTTTCTTCTCTAACTAATGCTTTCATACTAAAAATCTTATCATGACTTGACATGATATAACCCCATACAAGACAAGTCATACCATTCCCGATGGTGGTAAGACACATAAACGGACTCAAATACACATTATTTTTAGATATCAAAATAAATTTATGAATAGATAAAAAATTGTTGCTTTTTAAAATTATCTAGCAAAAAATACTTAAAAAATACTAAAAATGACTGAAATAGTCGTATCAATAACATATCAAATGTTAAACGGATAAGTTAACATAATTCGTTAAAATTGCATTTTTGTATAACCCAATTATAAATTCGATCAAAAAAATCTTAATATCAAATTATTTAAAATTGAGACATACTAAACGTAAACTATCTATATTTGAACAACTTCCTAAGCTAAGCTAATGGCTAAAAATAACCCAAGCGGCTCGAACCAGAGTTTCTCTTTATATAGAAACCGTATCTCTCTCACTAACATGGTTGCCCAAGAAATGGAATGGATGGCAATAGTGGAGTTGAATATATTATTTTTTAATATTAAAATTGCACGGAGGTCCCTATAGAATTTACAGGCGATAGTGGTTGGAAAATCTTAGTAAGGCAATAATGGTCAGATGATCATGATCTAGCGGAGGTGGTAAGAGGACTATAGTTAGGCAATATTGGTTGAAGGATCGTTATCGAGCAATGGTTTTCAAAGGATCATAATCATGCGATAATGGTCAAAGGATTTTTGTATGATGGCAAAGGTTGGAGGACTATGGCTGGGCTATTATGATATAGAGAATGTAGTTGGGTGATGGTGATTAAAAGATTATAGTTGGGGATAGTCATCAATAGATCATAGTTGGCCAAGGGTGGTTGGAGGTCTCTTGTTGAGCGATATTGGTTGGAGAAGCATAGTCAGGTGATGGTGGTTAAAGAATGTAATTGGGTGATGCTAATTGAAGAACTGTAGCTATGTGATGATGGCTAAAGAATTGTAGTTTAATGATGGTAGTCAAAGGGTAATAGTTAAGTAACGGTGGTCGGACGGCTGTACTTATACAATGGTTCTAAGAGAATAATAGGTGGGCAATGATGGTTAGAAAAGTGAAGTATGTCAGAGAACCATAGTTAGGTGATAGTAGCCGAAGGGCCATAATCAGACGACGGAGGTTAGAGGATTATAATTGGGTAACGTTGGTCAAAGGACCATACTCGTGTGACGATATTCAAAGGATTGTTTCGACGATAGCAGGCATAGGACCATAATGATATTCATGGGGAGAAGATCTTCGTGTGATGGTTGGACAGTGGTGGTGCAATGTTAGTGGTCAGATTATGTTGCTCAAGTACTGATGGTGGTTTGACGTGTAGTGAGGTTGGGTGGTTTGATGGCGATGGTCGGGTGTTTGTCTAATGTTGGCAGTCGGATGATAATCTAATGGAGCTTTGAGATTTTTTAAGCCTCTAAGCTCTCTTGAATCTTAGGCCATTATTCTTATTATATAAAAAAGGGGGTCTACTTATAATGTTTGAGAGTGACTTTTTATATAAATACAACTAAAATTTGGAATACTCCATCTGACAGTAAATATTAATTTTCTTAATTATATATTATTGTTTTAGTATTTATGTGCCTCAATTATGTTAAAATTGAATAATTTTTGGCACATTAGAGCTAACTTGTTGATATGCAAATTGATTTTAAGCATATGAGATTAGGAGATCTTTAGGCACTAATTAATATCTCAAAGTTTCTAATTATATTTCAACTCATTGAATATGAATTATTTGAACTCGATTCATATCACTCTTGGTGTTGATGGGTTCGTCTCGTCAAGATGTTCAACTTAGTTGTAAGTTTGTTGAAATCATAATTCATATGATTTTGAATTTGATTACGAGAGTTTTCAATTTAAATTTGCAGCAAGATCCATTTATTATCAAATCAATTCATAATGACTAGTCAAATTTGTTCCCTTTCAAAATTATTACAAGATTTTAATCAAAATTTAATTATTTAAAACAAAAGAAATACTACTTAGCATCTTTAAAATCTGACTAAAGATTAGAGCTTAATTTTAAAAATATGTAATTCAGTTAATATATTTATATATTATATATTTATATGCCTATTTTATATTGTTATTTAGTTTATATAAATACTTATTTATAAAGAAATTCTTTTAGTCAAAATTAATTTTAATTATATCATATTTTAAATTTATATTTTAATTAAAATAACATAATAATTTATTAACTTTTCTTGTTCGTTAGCTTAAAAAATCAGAGATTAGTTAAAAATTTAAATCGAGTAAATCAATATGCAAATTTGGCCTTATTTGAAATCGAATTGAAAGCTTTAATTCAAAATTCTTGTATGAGCTCATTGGCCATTATTTAAATTAGAAAAACATAGCTCACCTTGGCTTGTTGGTTGGAACAATTATTACGTCCTCTGACCGCACGGCCCGACGACTTGACCCGGAGCGGAACCCGGGAATGCTATGTTCGCGATTTTCTCGGTATTGCTCGGTATTTGCTCGGTATTTGCTGTTCACCAGACCGAATAAAAGTTCTGTTGGTTGAAAGCTTATGCTTCCAACTAAGAGGTCTTGAGTTCGAGTCTCTGTGTATACGTTGTGGGTGTGAGTTTGCCTTAAATGGCCTAAATGTCAAAAAAACAAAATTAGAAAAAAAAATTATTTTATAATATGATGCGTTTTATATCAAGATAAATTTCAATAAAATTAATCTTAATATAAATTTTAAGCTTGGATTCAAAATATTTTGATTTTTTTAAATAATAATGACATTATAATAAAATTTTATTAAATATTTAAAATTCGTGAAGAGATCATTGATTTAAATTTTATATTAGAATATACTGCATTTTATAAGATTATAATATGATGCATTATATATTTAAAATTATTAAAATTCATTTTATATTTATTTTATTTTATGAATTTTCAGTTTAATTTTCTTTTATGGCGTAAAAAAGTAGATCCGTTTGATCTTGTCGCCAGTTTCGATTTGGAATTTGAAATGGCACTCAACTCTGACCTTGAAAGAGAGACGTTAGGTTATCGTTTTCCTCGCTCTCGTTTTTTTTTTTTTTTAATCCTTTTCCCTGTTCTAATAAGTTATTATATTCCAGAGTAATTTATTATCGGTATAAGAGTTAATGCCCAATCTCTCTCTCTTTCTCTCTCTCTCTCTCTCTTACCAATTTCAACCATTAATGGTTCCGACCTGCACGCCCACCCACCGTTCTCCTCAGCTTCTCCACCAGATCCTTCACTGTCTAATGGCAGTACGACTTCCAGGGAACTAGCTCGATATTAAGTCCGGTGGGCCGAAGATTCAAAGGATCCAGGTCTTAGCCATTTTCCATGGCTCAAGAGATCAGTGAATGCTCTTGACTGAAGCGTTGATTAGTCAACGGAAGGAGATTTAGGTATTTTTCAATTTTTTTTGTTTGAAGCTTGGGTTGGACTTGAGCTGGCAGAGAGTTGGGAGACTTGTTAGATCTAAAGGTTTTTTATCGGCTTTGGAGATGATTTCTGGTGGTAAAATAGTTTTGTTGTTATGGCATATCTGAATGAGAGTTCCTCTTGGTTTAGGATGTCGATCTTTCGAACTTGTTTCCCGTTATAGCTGCTGGGATTTTTTTTCTCCCGAAGTTTGGGAAAGTTGGTAGCTTGTTCTTTGAGATAAACTTGGTTTGGTTTTCAGGGCTTTATGAGATTTCTGTAAATCCGTAACGTCTTCTTTTGTTATTTTCCTCTAGCAGTTGCTTTTTCGGCCTAGTTAAATTGTTGTGATTTGTCATTCTTTTTGAGATGAGTGATTTTTCTTCTTTTTCTTATAGATGTAATCTACGGCAGCTAGGGATGATAGTAGTCTACTGATTCTTTTGTTCTTGGCATTTTGGGAAGGAAGATGAAACATTGATATATTTAAGAGAGGGGAAAACTTAGGTTTTTCTATATCCAAGAAGATAATGGGAGCTGAGAAGGGTGGACCAAAGAGTAGAGGGTTCTTTCATATCTTTGAATGGAACAGGAAATCAAGGAAGAAACTCTTCTCCGTTTCACCTGGTAATCCGTTTACCTATGTTCCATGAACCATGACTCCTAAAGTTCTTCATATTCTCTTTTCTTTGCTGTATGATGGGAGATTTTACTCATGTTTTGTTTGCTTTTGTAGAGGGCCCGAAGCAGGAGAAGAGAACTGATGCTGATTTAAATGGAGCAAAACTTATATTGGTGGGTGTTGTTCATTGTTTAGATTGCCTTTCAATGATGATTTTTTTCACTGCTGTGCATTCTAATTTGTCTCTATAAATACTAAACATCACTTATTAGAAGGTATGATGATTTGGTCAGGTTGATGAAGATGAAGCAGTTGGAATATCAAGCATGAAAGAGAGCAGTGACTACAGCTGCGCTTCTTCTGTAACAGATGAACGAAATGGGATCAGGGAACCAGGAGTTGTGGCAAAACTCATGGGCTTAGACTCGATTCCTTCTTCAATCTTTTCTGAACCCTTCTCCACTCCTTTACTCGATATAAGATCTTCAAGCCACAAAAGAAGTCCGGATTTTTTTATTAATGACCAATTCAATCATGCTCGAAGTAGAGCAGCGGTCCAGAGCCGGAAACCAGTGGAATTTCGTAGTCAGAAGTTGCCAAGCAGCCCAATTGAAAGGTTTCAAATTGAAACACTGCCGCCACGATCAGCTAAAGCAGTTCCACAAATCCACCACAAGCTTATGTCACCTATCAAGAACACAGGGTTCATCTCCCCTCAAAATGCAGCACATATAATGGAAGCTGCAGCAAAGATGCTTGAGCCAGCTCTTCCAGTCAAGACCAAGGCCAAGGCTTCTTCTTCATATGTGCCTTTGAAAATCTGTGATCCTAAGGACAGGATAGCTCCTTCTCAAAGGACACCAAGGGTTCTTGAGTTGGGTCGAAGACCGGTTGAATCCAGTGATATGAAGTTCTTAAAGGGACAATCTCTAAATAGAAGCTGGAATGGTTCGGAAGATAGGTCTTCTCAAGATATCAGTGATACAAATTCGTTGAATGGAACGGGTAAAGGTAAATCAGTTTCCCTCGCAATTCAAGCAAAGGTGAATGTTCAGAAGAGGGAAGGTCTGAGTATGAACAGAAAGAATACATCTTCAATTACAAAAGATGTTGATGAAGCTAAATTAAATCAGCCATTCAAGAGCCAGCAAAGTAAGATTAAGCAGCATAAGAAGGCTTCAATATCTGGTGGATCTAGTGTGTTAAGACAAAATAACCAGAAGCATAACTCTTTGTCAGGTAAAGGCAAGTTAAACCCAAAGCAGTCAGTTTCTAAACAGCAGGAAAGAAAAATTCTATATGAAGATGCTTCGTCAAGGAAGAATGATACCACAAGTTCCTTTTCAGGGCATTCCAGGCTTGTCTATAGGGAGGATGCTTTAGAGACTTCTACTACAGATCATGAAAATCTTTTATCAAGCAATAAGAACTTCCCTAGAAAGAAGAGATTGACAGAAGGGGGTTTCAACTCTCAGAGAAACTCTTTTGTTGATAACAAAGCCTCTAAACAAAGGCATGTTCAGCCGGATGTTGTGATTGATGAACAATCAAGGTGGAACAAAGACAACAAAAATGATGGTGCTGATGTCGTATCCTTTACATTCAACTCTCCATTAGTGAAGTCAAGACCTGGTCCTCCATCCTTCATTCCAGCTGAGGAAAATTGTGACAAGGTGAACATATGCGCCACTGATGGTAATATTCTGAGAAAGGATTTTACTGCAAAGAAGAAATCATCTTATGGCCTTAATCTGATAACTGGCGATGCTCTAAGTTTTCTGCTAGAACAGAAACTGAAAGAATTAACATCTGGTAATGAGTCCTCTTATTGCAATTTTGTTGAAGCCGCTAGCTCCAAGTCTTCTATACCTCTTAAACAAGAGAAGTTAATTGATATTGATTCTACAAGTGCTAATACTGTTGGACATGAGAAGCAATTTAAGCCAAGGACTTTTTGTAGAGATAAACAGTCTCCTACATTTTCCAGTGGTACTTCTTCCACCAATGGGAAGGTTTTTGGATCGAGTTACAATTTGCAGGTATTTGGGGCCAACTTTTCATCGTTATGAAGTCATGACTACTACTACCTTTATTGTTTTTAGTTTTTTCTGTTATTTAATCGAAAGGTTAATCATTGGCCCGGGTGCATGAATTCTTTAGTCAAGCTATAAGAGTTTAGTCAAAATCAGGCTTTGCTAAGAATAATTTGGTGAAATTTAGATTGTTTAATACAGAAAATTGTATAGCATTTGTGTGTTCATACTGTACTTTCTAATTTATGGGATAATTATTCAAGTGTTCAACATGCTTTTTAATTTATATGAACACTAATCCAATGGGAATTTTCTGATTCCCACCCTTGATGATGATCCCAACGGACATGTGCTTTCTTTCTATCCAAAATTGTGAGTTTGAAGGGATATTAATGGTTATGGTTTCAGGATGAGAAAGAAAGGAAAGCTAGAGAGAGGGAGGATGGTAGGGTAATCTAAATTACCAAACGGGCTTATTTATAAATGCAACCGATATTATTTATTATCATAATATTTCCTTATTATTGATGGTATTCTCCATTATTGTGTTATGTTGTTGAGCCTAATCAATACTTGACGAGGAAACACTTTACACAACTCCATAAAAAGTCAACATATAATATTTCTTCCCCTAATGTTTTTCATTATAAATGGGTCGTCATTCTTAGAATTTCTATTGAAGTGAGCAACAAAATAGAGGCAAAGATTCTCCCTTGTAAAACATTTATCATTATCATCATGGTGATACTTGTAGTGTTGGCAACAAATAGTTATAAATTGGGACAAACTTTTTTAAAATTTCTTGTTGTGTTTTGTTTATTTTATTTTATTTTTTTTCATTCATTTGCTCTCAGTGATTAAAATTAGGTGAGACCTCATTCCCAATATATTATTCTCATCGTTTTTCTATACATAGGCATATATATGTGTGCTATAGTAAAGATATAGTCCTTTAGAATTCTCTCATCTAACTTAGTATTAATTTAATAGGATCCTTCTCATTTTTCTTGATTAACATGCACAACACCACCATATTCCACTCACCAGCCCATTGATCGCCATCCACACTACCTTGAGTGTCATCTCAGTCGATGTGATCCTTTGCACAACTAATATGCACATGTTTTTGACCTCCTTGTAACTCCTCTATCTTCTCCTCTTCTATTTGTGCCACAACTTAGATATCTCTATCACTTATCAGCCTTTTGGATTAGCCCATGAGCTTCTCCTTTGTCATTATTAATTGTACACCCTTATTAACCTTATGTGCTACATGCCACCACTCATTCTTGTCTATGACATCAATCGTTAGATTTGGGCGCTTCAATCTAGTCCCACCTATAAGTCATCATATGTAATTTCATCGCCAATTTCTAAAAATGGTACATCTTTTTTGCCAATTGTTGCATCTAGCAAGATTAATTCATCTGTCTAATCTTCCTATTTTCTCCTACCCATCCATTTGTGTTGTTGACCATTGTCGTTACTCCATTGTTCGTTCTGTCGACATGCTCTCAGTCAATACTCTTCTTAATTGGAAGAAATGTTTAAAAAAAAAAAAAAGTTTAATGGTATCCATTTATGCTTTTAAATGTAAGATACGGTATTGATTGATGTCATCTATAGTCCATTTGATTTCTTTTAAATGAAAGATGTGTTTTAAAAAAAAACATAAAGTTTTTCTAGATGATTTCATTTACGCAATCAAATTAGTAAAAACCCAGTCATTTCATCCTAAAACATATTTTCTCTATACAAGCATCTAATGGTCCCTTCCGGATTACACAATACTTGTTATTTATATTATTCCTTCTTTGTCAATATATTACACATAAAAGATATGGATTTCAGTTTATATGCAATAAACCCAGTTCAATTTCTTCTATTATCTTCACAACATCTCTCTGAATTCCCCAAACAGGGATTGGAAGAAGCAGAATGCAGCAGCAACAACAACGCTTGGAACGAATCTGATAGTTTGCAGCCAAGCCCGCTTTCCATTCTGGAAGCCTCTTTAAGTGAAAGCTCCAACTCGTCACTTAGTAGTATCAGCACCAATGGTTCCACCCTAAACTTCTAAACATAACTTCTCTTCTCTTGATTGTTTCACCAGTTTTCCTAAAGTTGATTCTTCATGTCTCTTTCCAGGAAGCAAGATGTCCTTGCATTCAGTCCAAGCACAGAATACCATCAGCTCATCCACCCAAAACAAAATACCATCATTAGAAGCCGAGTTGGAACAATCATATTCATCCTCATCTTCACCATCCTCAGTTGGAAGTTTATTTACATCAGAAAATCAGTCAAACCACAGAAAATCAAACAATCCGGACTTGGATTATGTCAAAGAAATACTAAACAACAGGAGAACAGGAGCTATGGATCCTCTGAATCCTCTTCTCTTCAACAAGTTAGAGAAGAAGAGATGCAAGGATGGGAGGATAAGAAGGAAAATGATCTTCGATTGCGTTAATGAATGTTTGAATAGTAAATACGGCCTTTTTTTGAGATCAGGATACCAAGCCTGGGCTAATGGGGAAGCTCTGATGCCTAAAAACATGGCAGAACATGTTTACGAGGAAATTTCAAGGTGGAAAGGCTTTGGTGATTGCATGGTCGACGAGTTAGTGGATAGAGATATGAGCAGTGGCAGAGGGAGATGGGTGGATTTCGACACTGAAGCATTTGAACTCGGAATGGAAATGGAGGAGGAGATCATTAGTTCCTTAGTAGATGAAATTTTCATTGATATTTCTGTTCAGGTTTAAATTTTTGTCTGCTTACATTGGATGGTTTGCCCCAAGCCGTGATAAAGAAAGCCAACTTTGCCGTTGAATATTTGAAAAATAGGCATATTTGAGTTTATCACAGCATGTGGGGCTGTTTTATGAGTTGATTATTTGACTCTGAAGTCAAAGCTGTGTAGCCACTTCTCAGTGATACAATCCATGTGAAAGTTCTAGAGATGAACAACGCAACTGGTTTGTACCTTGAGATTTATATATTTTTTTAATTTGGTAGAATATTTGAGTTTTGTAAGATAACTGAAGTGTCAGAACTTAGTTGTCGTTTTTTTCGATGGCTATTTTTTTTTCTTTTTATGTATTTTGAGGAAACCGATCGGAGATCTCGGTGGATAGAGGCGTGCCGTTGAAAAAAAGAGAATTTTAAATTTCGAGGGCTGTTTAGGACTGCTGGAGCATTTTATGAAGATAATTATGAGAAAAATAATTTTGTTATTCTAATTGTAAAAATTAGTTTTTAATGATATATAAATTTTTTTTGAAAAGTTATGAGAGAACAGTAAATAAGAATTATTCAAAAATTAAATTGTGATTGATGCTTGAAAAATAAAGCTATATGGATTCTAAGGTTTTGTTTGAAATAATTATTTTTTATTGTTTTTTAAATTAATTTTTTAGTATAAAATTTTGAAAAAATGTTTTAAAAAATAATAAAAAAAATTGTTTCAAATGAAGCCTACTTTTGGGACTGGTTTTTTTTTACTATTTTTTTAGTTAAAAAATTTTAGATTAAAAATTTTTGTACTAAAATGTTACTTTAAAAAGTAGTAAAAAATATGTCTCAAACGAAGTCTTTCCGGCTTTATTTCTGCTTCTTAAAGCAGCTTTTTAGTAACAAAATTAAATTTTTTTTACTAAAAATTGCTTTAAAAAGCAAGAAGAAAGTCGCCCCAAACTAAGGCTAAATTAATCTTGACATAATAGAGGGATAAAAACTTTTTAATTAGTTGTGAAAAATAAATAGAAAGGAGGATGATATCATGCTGCATTAATCAAATTAGTATTTAGTAAGATTATTAAAACTAATCTGGCACAAAAAATGGTCACAAAATTAAAATAGATTAAACCATCTTTCTTGATGCTCAAGCATCCAAGCCCAACTCGGGCTAGTGTCTAGCATACTATATTGAATAAAGGGTGTTGAGTGCACAAGGATCAAGAGTATAATTTGAGGTTTGAAATACAAACTATATGATGTGGGGTTGAAATATTCTTTTGTTGTAGAAGGTTTGAAGGTAGGCTTTTATAATAGAAATATCTAATTAGGTGCTAATTGTGCTTAGCTTAAAGAAAACTATGAGAAAATTAGCATAGAATCAAAAAGATGAAATTATGATTTCATTTAAGATAATTTTCTTAATACTATCTAAAATAATTTTTTGGTACAAAAAATTTTTAAACTAAAAATTTTATATTATAAAACTACATTTTAAATAAATTTTGAGAGATAATTTTTCATAGAATTGTAAGAGGCTTTGGAGATAGATTTGTAAGAGGCTTTGGAGATAATTGAGGAGGATATTTGAGAAGCTTGTAAGGAATTTCTTGAGACACTTCTTGAAATTTGTGTGAGACTTTCACATTAGTTTTTTTTTTTTTTTTTTTTTTTTTTTTTTTTTTTTTTTTTTTTTTTTGCACTTTATGTACTTGAATTTGTGTGTGTGTGGTTATATGCTTAGTTGTAATATCATTATTGGAATAATAATAGAAAATTTTAAATTTTTCTCTTAGATTTATGTTTGGTTGTGATAAATATAATTGTCATTCTCTTAAACTAACTAGGTAATATGAATTTTTTTTCTAAGAGCAGAGATAAGAAATATTATTTTATCATTTTAGTGCATATGAAATAGACAATTTTGATATATTTGTTCCTTAGAAATAGTCTTATTTTCACTATTTCACAAAAGAGGAGTAATTGGTGTTCTTAAAGCTTCAACAAAAATAATAATTATTTTTTAAAGACACTCCAAGTTACCTCCCTCCCCTCTTGGGTGTGTGGTACACTTTTGAAATAAACTTTACTTATTATGATATTGAATGATGCATGCTTTAAATAATTGAACTCCTCATCAAAAAAGTTATTTATCATAACTTTAAATATAAACAAATAAATTAATTATTTTATAAAATTTAAGTTAAAAATTAGATTCAAATAATTTAAATTAATTTCATGAATTACTTTTATCTCCCTTAATATTCAACAAACATAGTGATTTTGAGATGAATTGGGTGGTTTATGAAATAGGGGAAATATTTTCCAAATTGCATGTTAATAGTTAATAGATTAAATCCTTGTTTCATTAATATGAACAAGACTATTATGCAATTATTGGGTTTTGAAGTGTTGGGCCATATAAATGAAGGAATGAGTAAGATAAGCTAACAAATATTTTAGCTCAATATAGAAATAACTAAGATCACCTATTAAGATCATATTTGTCATTTTAAAGGACATAAATATTGTATGTTAGAAAATTAGGATTCATAATAACTAATTAGAGGTCACTTATAGATCCTTGAGGGTTTAAATCATGGTTACTGGATTATGGTCTAACAACATTTAATATCCTCTATTTAACTATCAAATTTTGATGGAATGAATATGGAATCTTTGTGTAGGAAATTATCCATTTAAATGGAGTTTTGTCTAAATTTGATGGTTTTTTTATTTTTTCAAAGTCTTAAGGATTGATAGAAAGTAATGATATGATTTGAGGGAGCATGGATGAATAATAGGAAGAATCAATAAGTATATGTTCTTTTTTCTTCTTCTAGAGTTTTAACTTAGTATAACCCTCCTCACTTGGTGCTTAGATCCCATTAGGTTTGGGATAGGTCTAGTGAACACTTAATCTGGTTTTGAGCTCTAATAAGTGACAAAGATATCATGTTTGAGGTGTGTATCTTGATTTGGAAGGGTTGACCCCTTTTGTATACTAAGTGCTTTTTATAAGATCTAAGTCACTTGTTAGCACTATTTAAAAGCTTGAGGAGGACCCTTGTGTTTCTTTGACTTTCACATCATGTATGAAGAAGAAATAAGCTTAGGAGTTAAGAATGTGGTGGAGCTCTCTTATCTCATATGGTTATGACTTGACTAAGGCCTTGAGCCATTCCTTAAAATGAAGAAAACATCCTTAATACTCCTAGTCTTCCTAACCTCAAACATATTATTTTTATTTATTAATACAAAATGAATAAGTGATGAATCATAGACACAAATATATAAGGTAGTGACCAAATAATTCAGTAAAAGTCATTAAGCATAGAGACCTAAAGCTGTGATTTCACAAAATGGAGGTGATGAATCCAAGGGAAAAGTGATCTAAGGAAATAATCCCCATCTATTAAAATAGTATATGGAAGAATATATATATATCTTTAAAAAATATGGCTTGTTAATGATGAATTAGCTTCTTTATGTCAAGAGGTAACTAAAGCCTTGAATTTATATATGAGGAGGGTACTAAAGAATTGAGAAGAGAGCCAGTGTACTTGTGTATGTATCATATATATATATATATATTCGTGTGTGTGTGTGTGTGGTGATTGGGTGATGGGAATAACATTGATCCTTAAGATGCTTAAATGCCAGTGTTGATTTTTGGGTTGCATTGGAGAATTAAACTGTATTTATCATAACATTTGGTTGAGAGGTTTTTGAGTAGGAAAGGACTTCAAAAGACATTCCTTAAGTGTGACTTTGCACCCAATATATCCCCACTTAGTGTGCCTTATTCAAATAACATTTTATGACCTAGATGAGGTTTGCAAGAATAGTAATGAAAAGAAGAAAATTTAATAGCAAGGTTTCTTATTGACATCATTTAATAAAGATAGAGGGTGATATGATATTATTCCTAAGAATAAAGTCATGAAGGGAGGTGTAAATAAAATTTGGAATGTACTCACTAAAGAACCTTAGTACGATATAGCCACTAGCTTTACATTTCATTATATATAAGTAACATCTTATATGATTCCAATCCACATGATATTCTAATACAACTCACTCCATTTTTATAAGCATTAAGATTATATTATTATATTAATTCATGGAGGAAAAGGAAAGTAAAAAAGCTTGGTGAATTGATTGCTATCTTAATTTATTGAAGATACCCTTGATTTAAAAACATCCAAAACTTACTTAAATGCATTAAATTTTTAATAGAAAGTATAGAGAGATAGGGCAGGACGTCCAATCTTGCTTCTAAATATGTAAAGTTAGGTCATGCCTACACACAAAGAGAGTGATTTCATATTATTGGTTCCATGATAATTATTGCAAGCTAGAATATATACGGCGATAGAGTAAGAAAATTTTTGTCATAGCGTTGTACGGATATCCAGCACACAAACAGAAGAAAATTGTACACTGGGATTTTTACGTGGAAAACCCTGGAAAGGGAAAAACCACGTGACCACGCCTAGTTGAAAGGATTCCACTAGTGTATACTTAAGTTACAAGTGGTTGACTTGTTCCTGAAATTGAGGATGATTAGATTACAAATCTCATATTGAAATTCAGGTACAAATGGATATCAAAATTTCGATGATGTTGGGTGGTCGGGCCTAACTCCGGTGTCAGTTGACTAATGGGCAGAACTCCGGCATCAGTCAATGGTCGGGAGGAATTTTGGCGTCAGTTGGCGATCGGGCAGAACTCCCATGTCGGTCGGCTATCGGTGTGAAAGTCTGGTGGTGGTCGAGGAGGAGTCTCTTCCTTCTCTTCCTTTTCTTTCTTCTTTTTTTGCTTCCTTGCTTAATTATGGTGACAGTCGGCTGTCAAGTGAAAGTTCGGCAGTGGTTGAGCTGAAGTATCTTCCTTCTCTTCTTCCTTGTCTTCTCTTCTTCTCTTGTCTTCTTCTCTTTTTTTCTTGCTTCCTTGCTTAATTCTAGCATCGGTCGACTATCGGGTGAAAGTACGGCGGCGGTCGAGGAGGAGTCTCTTCCTTCTCTTCTTCATTCTCTTATCTTTTTATCTTATCTTCTTGCTTGGGGTATCTCTCATGAGAAATGAGGGGTCTATTTATAGTTTTCTGCGAGTGGCATGACTAGTAAAGAATAGGAAGATCAAGGGTAAATTAGAAGTGGTTTGAATGGACGACCGATGTTGATTCCCTTGATTGTGGACCATTTATTAGGCATTTGAAGGCTCTAATGATATCAGAATTCGATGATCTTGGGCTCGTTGGATTCGTCTCGTTGAGCCACTGGATTTGATTATAAACACGATATATTTGGAAACTATTTGGTAATCCAAATTATAGTTTGATCCCTCCAAATGTGCTATGGGTCTTTGATTTGGACTCATTTGGGATCGGATTGAGTCGAATTTGGTGTCGTTGGATTCGTATTTCCGAGACATTCAGTTAATGAAGACTCGACATTTAGGTTGAGGAAAAGATGGAATTTTAGCAACATGCTCAAGGGATCTCCTTGGAATTTATTGAACAGAAGAATCAACATAAGATTCCAATAAGGAATCAAGAAGTAGAAATGCTTATAGGAGTAACTTTTTTTAGTGGTTTGAATAGTATGAGAATGAATAGAGCTACTCGTTGAAGACTCAAAGGTAGTTGACTCACAATAACTTCAAGGTCTGAATTCTGATATTCAATAAATTAGTAGGAATTTTTTTATTAGGCATTTTTTTCTCCCTTTCTATTCACTTCAAGGGATGCTTGGCTTCTTCTTCTTCTTCTTCTTCTTCTTCTTTTAAAAACTTGGTTACCTCAAGATCTTTGGTTGTTTCATCAGAAGGACCTATATAAATAAAAAAAAAACAAAGTAAGAAGAAAGTGCAGAGCTAAGGGAGCCCATCCTATTAGGCGAGTTTTAAAACAACAAAAAAGAAAAGAGAATGGAAATAAGACTTAAGTCAAATAGTGTTTCAAAATATTGAAGTTGATGATGGACTCCATATTTAGGCTAATTTCTTTCATTACAAGGAAATAAAAGTTGTCATCCTTCTCCAAGTGTGGAATGTGAACTCTCCCTTATGGAAACAAAATAGACTTGGTGGAAATTGGCTACTTCTTAACCTACATCACAAAAAATATATATATTCTTCAAAAAATTTATCTTATTTTCTAAGCCTGACATATTGATGTGGTTTTAGAAAAATTAGATGAACCCATCCATGATTTCCTGAAAACTTATCTTAAAAAAAACTTCTAAAAAAACTAATCTTACCTTTTATGATTATTTTTTATGTTCCCAACTTTGCAAGAAGAGAAAAAAGATGTTGAAGGTGTGGGTCCCTTGACAACATATGCAGGTGAAGAGAAATGTGAACTTCTAATGGTTTGGCTAAAGACCCACCGCGGTTTGTCTTGGTGGTGAAGAGCCGGCTGGGCAAAGCTCAGGTCCCTGGTTCGAATCCCTTGGCCGCCGTGAAAGCCTTATGTGTTGGCCCATGTAAATGGTGAGGGTTGCATGCTAGGTCAACTAGGATGTCCTTTCGGACGTCCTGTTTTTATTTATTTATGGTTTGGCTAAAGCAGTGAGTTCTTGGATCTTACATTTTGCTTTAGCATCATTAATTTTTACCTACTTTTGTATATTTTTCTTTTCTGAAGAACGTCCTTATCTTTCATACTTTTTGAAGAGGCTGCCAATAATGTTATCCCTTTAATGTATTAATCTTAGATCCTCCTTTTATAGATAAAAGAGCCACTGATGTGGATAAAATGACGATATCAATTTAGGCTTCGTTTGAGACTACTTTTTTGTTGCTTCTTAAAGCAGCTCTTTAGTACAAAAATTAAAATTTTTATACTATAAAGCTACTTTAAGAAGCAACAAGAAAGTCGTCCCAAACGAAACCTTAATATAAAATAAGTATTTACGAAAATTTATTAATAAGAAATAAAAGGAGATTTAATCATAAATTACTATGAACAAATTATTCTCTTATTAATTTCGTACTATTCCTCCAAGATATAAGAGAATTTAGAAACTAAAGAACATCCAATTATTTGGAAATCTAGGTTAAAAGAAGTTGAGTCAATTCAAGCCAACTCAACTTGGTTCAAGCTATCAATATCAACCAAATCAAGTAAAACAAGGATTCATCAAGTCTCCATAGAGCTACTTAGGCTAATCATAAGTCAATCATTTCACTCCGTCAAATAGGCGACTCTTGCCACTCAATTTGATGATTTATACAAGTTAAGTCAACGGCTTCATATCTTCTCTTATTAGAACTCTCATTTTTCTTTCTATTTCTCAACTATCACTTTGCACAATATTCGTAGCAAGGATTATGGTGATCAACAAATAATTTTGTATTCAACTCCAAAATTTTTTATTTAATTTAATCAGTAAAAATTTACTAATTATATTATATCATCAATTATGATGTATAAATTACACTAAATTACACATTTCATTAAATTTCCCAATCAACTACAAATAACATTTTATGACCATCTAAAATCCCATTTTCACAATTAAAAAAAAAATCAAACAATACAATTCCTCAATTAAGGCGCAATAGGCACTAATGTGCATAATCACCCCACAATGGGATACTATTTTTTAAAAATATTAATATAAAATATATTAAAAATAATTATTTTAAATATAAAATTATTTTAAATTTATATATATTTTTCATATATCAATTAACTTTATTTAATTTGACATGTAATTTTTAGGGATTTTTACATACATAACACTTCAAACTAGTATAAATACATATTTAACACCCAAATTTTTGTATTTACTAATATACCACCTAAAACACCAACTTTCATATATTCTACCACTCCGTCAAAAGTCCCGTCAAAAAGGGCGTCTGAACAGCTTTCGCACGTGACAAGGGACGACAACGCAGGAGAAGAGAATGGGAGCGATCACGATGAAGGACGACGGCACGATCTCAGCTGCTGCTCCGGCGGCCCATTTCGTGAAGAAGACAACTACTGCTCTGGCCCATTTCGTGAAGAAGACATAGATCTTCCTCACTGAAAACTTCCCTAGCTTCACCCTAAATTCACACCGACATTTTCAGCACTTGAAGATACACTCCTGCCAACATCTTTTCTCTTCTTAATCGGTGGGCTTGCACTCTTCTTTACTTAATCCAAAGTGCTTGAAGGCTTGATACTTTCATCGATCTTTCTATTCTTAGAAATAATTGGACTTGCATGCTTTTTGGAGTTTACGTTATTGGTTCTGTTCTTACTGATAGAGCAGAAAAAGCAAGAAGATGAACAGTAAAAATTCCTTGATAACATAAAGAGATGCATAGTAATGAGCTCCCATGGTCAGTACGAGAGACTCACGTACCATTCATCTCCTGAACGGCGGCAAGGAGGCATCAGAGCTTTGGTGAGGAGATGTGGAAGAGGAATGGGGAGAAGGGTGAAATTATTTGCAGTCGAGGATGCTCCGCGGGCAAATTGTGAAGATTTTTGACGGAATCTTAGACGGAGTGCTAGAATAGATGAAAATGAGTATTTTAGGTGGTATATTAGTAAATACAAAATTTTGAGTGTTAAATATGTATTTATAGTAGTTTGAAGTGTTATACATGTAAAAATCCCTAATTTTTATTGTTTAATAATTTTATTATAATTTATGCATCAAATTGAATAATGTTTTATTAATTGCATAATAAGATTGAGCTCGAAGTTAAAACTTAAATTTGATTAACCTATCAACCCGTATACGCACCCGTTTGAAGGAGAGCGCGCAGCGAAGCTTTGGCCCCGACGTACAGAAGATGAGGATGGCGTGTCTTGCTGCTGAGTTGAGTTCCTCCACCGCTCTTTGTCATCCATCGCCGCGCCGTTGGAGGTCAACTTTCCCCCAGGTATCCATTTTCGAAACCACGTCTCACATGCACATAAAGTTCAAACCCTCGCTAACCTTCATTCTACCACCTATGATGGCAGAGAAGAGGCATAGGAAGATGGTCGTCTCCGAAGAGGCTGCGGTGCGCATCCGTCAATGTCAGGTGCTACTTTCAGCTGATTCCTCCTCCATATCCGTTGGTGATTTCCTCTCTCTTTCTCTGTCACTCTTCCCTCTGTTTCTTGCAACGCTTTTGGCTCTTTTAATAGTAATGGTCTTATTAGTAGAGCGCATTGGAGCCGTATATGAGCCAGGAGACGGTGGAAAGACACTGGGGGAGGCATCATCGGGAGCACCTGAACAGCCTCAACACTCACATAGCTGGGTCCGAGCTCAACGAGATGCCTTTGGAAGAGATCGTCCTCGCTTCCTATAACAAGGGAGACTATCTACCTGTTTTTACTCATGCCGCTCAGGTCAAATTTTTACTCTTCTGAATCCCGTTATTTTTTATTATTCTTAAGATCGTTTGGTTCTTGTAATCAACAGTGACTTTTTGCGCTCTATTAATGCGTCTCTGCAAGAAGTACTCGGATGTAAATGCTAATAAATGTTTGCTTGATACCGTAATCGATTCTTTAAACTTTAAAATTTGCTCCGCAAGCACTGATAGAAATTAATGGTTTAATATTGGTGCTGCTTCATTCCACAGAAGGTAGAGGAAAGAACAATAAGCTGGAAAGAAAACGCGGCAAAGTGTTTGGAGAAGGATACTTCTCAAGATCATGTGTTCTAGCCACATAATTTGTGCTTTTTCGCTTACCATCCCTAAAAAAAAAGGAAAAAAAAATTTAACCAGCTCCTAATAGTTTCTAGATAAGATGTGGTTCCTGATTAGGAGATCTAGGATCAAAGTTTGGTATTTTCACAAATCAAATTCAATTGATTGGGCATTTTCTAATCGAAAGAATAAAAATTGAGAATTAGGCTGAGGGATTGAATGGTATAAATTGCTGTCAACATTATATTTTAGTTAGTGATGTAGAACGGAAACACGCTTTGCTAGGGACAAATCTCCTCTCCATATTTTTTTTTTGTTTGACAGCAAGTTCAGATTTCACCAAAAATCTGAGAAGAAAATTCTCAGATTTTCTCTTGAGAAAATAGGGGTAGGGGAAGGAAGAGTTTGGTTGAAGACTTGACATGGACGGTTGGATGTCCGCATCAGTTAGTTTTTTAGATTCACATTAATCAATTGATTTCTGTAATACTCTATGTATAATTGTATATGTACCTCGGAATTTTGATGGTCTCTTATCTTGAACCTCTCCTTGTTCCAATTTTAGATTTCAAAATACATATATTATGTTTTATTTTTTTCATGCTGATGACTTGTTCTTTATGAATAATTTGAAGACTTGGAATCATGATTTTTTTTGGCAATCTATGAAACCTGGTGGTGGGGGTCGACCATCCGGAATTCTTCTTCAATTGATTGAGAGGGATTTTGGTTCATTTGAGCTATTTTTGAAAGAGTTCAAGACTGCCGCCTTGACACAATTTGGTTCTGGTTGGGTTTGGCTGACATGTAAGTCCTGCCTTTGTAATGGTCATCATATTATGTGTTTGTAGACTGACCTGCAGTTGTGTTAACTTGATGTTTAATTGCTTCAGACAAGTCAAATAGACTAGATGTGGGAAATGCTGTAAATCCCTGCCCCTCAGCCGAAGACAATAAGCTTGTGGTGGCCAAGACTCCAAATGCAATCAATCCCCTTGTCTGGGATTACTCTGTAAGTCACATTTATGTTTTTTCTCTGCATTACCTTCATGCCATTCAAGCATATTAATAAAGTTCTTGCTTATGTTGATATTACCGCTATTGTTTTCCATTTCTTAGATGAATCCTATTTTTATGATGGGCTAACTACTATTAGTATAGAATCAGTTACACACTTCACAATAACCCACTTAAACCTTTAACTTAAAATAATCTATCAATATTAAAACAATGTTATAAAGTTTAATATATTTTAATATCATAAAGTAAGTTAATTCTTCTTGATGAGAACATAAGATTCCCGGGATATTTAACCATGAAAATGCATTTATAAATATTTTGCAATAAACATGAATTAATGGCAGTGGATTTGTAAAATTGACCTCAAATGGTTGGGATAAGGCTAGATGATAAGATGCATGATTAAGCCTTAAAAATTGCATGGCTGACTTCAGCTTCCATGATTAAAGAAGCAAATATTTTATCATTAAAAGAAGGTTAAATCAAGCGTGCTTGCCGCCATGCTAAATGTAAGAGTTTTAGAAGGAGTTTATTTTTGATATGTAAGAGTTTTAGGAGTTTATTTTTGAGAAAGTGAAAGTTTCCTCTTAATGAAGTACAATGAGTGCGTGAATTCCATTTGGGTGATTGAATCCCTATCTTTTATGTATTAACAAGTCCTCATAATATTGGGTAAGTGAATACCCATGTTCTCATATATTTTTCTTTTAAAATAGTGAACTTTTTTCTTCTTATCGTGTTTTAATTTTACTTCCTTTTTTGGGCTATATTAAATTGGTATCAAACCGAAATTCATCATGTCTTGCCTCAAGCATGTTTATGGGCATCATTTGACAAGGATGGGGAAGGTTTTTAGTTAATATCAAACTTGAGGTTTATTTTCTACTATGAAAGGGAGAAAGATGAAATAGGAATTGGAATTTAATTATTTTTCTCAGCCATCCCCTACCACTTATAGCTTTAATAATAGATAGTTGCAGGTTTATCTTCTTTAAAACTTAGCACAGCCTATTTTTTGCCTATTTTATTAGATTTTATTTATATATTTAATTTTGTTTGTTCAGCTGATTCCCCAGATGGGCTAGAAATTCTTATCTTCTTGTTTTTCTTCGCAGCCGTTGCTTGCCATTGATGTTTGGGAGGTATGTGTTTTTGCATGCAACACTACATTGCATCTAGTTGTATATATCTATCTACTTACCAACTTCCTTTTCATTTGTGAATCTCTCCTGTCTATACAGCACGCTTACTATCTTGACTATGAGGTTAGTTTTTTTTAAGCTACGTCCATATTTCAATGATCTACCAAGATGTTAATAGCCGTTGAAGTTATCACTTATTTGCAGAATCAACGTGCTGAGTACATATCTGTGTTCATGGACAAGCTAGTTTCATGGGATTTTGTCAGCTCAAGGCTTGCGATGGCCTTTGCGAGGGATGAAGAAAGAGCAAGAAAAGATGCCAGTAACAGTGAAGAAGATGATTTGGTCTTAGCGGATAGTGCTGCCAGGGAGATGTTCTTGGACAGTGATGATGATGGTGCAGAGACTGAGTAGGAGTACTAACCAGTTGCTTGATTTATCATTCTGTGAAATACAACTTAGGCTTCGTAAATTCTTGCTGCTTCTTAAAGTAGTTTTCTAGTAAAAAAAAATTGTACTTAAAGGTTGCTTTATAAAGCAGTAGACGGCTTTCTTTCTGCTTCTTGAAGCAGCTTTTTAGTATAAAAATTAAAATTATTAGCTGAGTTCTTTTCATACTGGCTGCTGCCGAAATCTGTTTGAAGATTTATGTCTAAATGGGCACTTGCAGTGTTCTATTTTTCTGCTAAATGACTGGCTTATAGATTTTCAAAGAGATGGTATTTGGCTCAGCACTCATTGGTAGACGAAAGCATCAAAGTCTGTTAACTGAGGGATATTTTTACCTGGCACAATTAAATGACTCTTCATTTATCATGTGTTAAATACTACTCTAAATACGTATAAGTAGGGTTATAAGTGAATAAAGTTTCATTTGGAATAATTTTCTTATTGTTTTTTAAAGTCATTTTTTAATAAAAAAAATTTTAGTTTAAAATTTTTTTGTATAAAAAAAATTGCTTTAGAAAATACAAAAAAAATTAAGAATTCAATATTTGTTCATAGAATGTTATGGTTGTTTATTTATAAATGAACCAGTTTGAATACAATTGTAAAAGCTCTCATATGAGTAAATAGTTTGAACAGTAATTTAGTTGTTTATTTTTATTTGTGATTATAAACATAAAATAGCTTATTAAAGATATATAAAAAAACCCATTTAATAAAGATTGATTTTTATTTTATTTTATGATTTATTTATATTAATTTATCAATTTTTTTATAATTTATATTTTTTGAAAACAGTTATATAAATTATTGATTTATATGTATGATGAAAATACTAAATAAATATATAGATTTAAATATTTTCTTGTTATTATTTACATGTAATCAAATTACTTTAATAACATCTATTGAATTAGATCAATTTTTATTAAATTTTGTAAATTCAACTATATCTAGTTATTAAGTTGTATGTTTACATTATTAGCGTGAAACATATAATCATTTAAATTTGATTAAAGCTAGATTTAGGCTCAAATTTGATAAGAAAATTAATAAAAAAGCTTAAGATTTTAAAAATTGGATTATGCTCAATTTCATCTCAAATTTTATTAAAAAAAATAAACGATCAAGCTTAAAAATAGTACTATGCTCGACTTAGTTCATTCGCCCCCCTCAATGGGGAAAGATAAGATCTCTCTTTTTCATTGCAAAAGAAAATGTTGCTTAATTGATTTTAATTATTAATTACTTTCAATCTCAATTATTGATTTTGAACATTGGGAGATATTCTTATTGACAAAGAACTTATTGTCAATAACTTATGTAAAAATATTCTTCTTTACTTTACTCATATGTATATGCCATAGTACCATGATGAAGAAAATCCAACTAGCCCAACTCTATTGGCATTAAATACTACTTTTTGCCACATAGTAGCTTGATATAATCATTAAGGCTTCGTTTGATACGACTTTTTTACCGCTTGTTAAAGCAGTTTTATAGTACAAAAAGTTTATTTTTTATACGAAAAAGCTGCTTTAAGAAGCAATAAGAAAGTTGTCCTAAACGAAGCCTAAGAGGATTTGTTCTATTCCATCTTTGATCTCCAAATGGTATCAAAGATTCAAAGGTATGACTTCATAGTATGTTCCTTGGTCAATGTTATAGCATACACCTTTTCACACAAATTAATTGCTCATATTACTTCAAGTATATTACTCGACTCTTAGCTAACAATGTTGCATATACCTTCTCACGTGGCTTTATCATTTGATTCCAATGGCGCTAATACCAATGTTGGTGCTTGATATCACCGATATTAATACAAAAAACATATATCAAGCTAAAAGTCAAACTTCATAAATTAGAGTATTTTCTTCAACATCCACTTTGTATATTATCAATACTATATCAATCATCATCTCTTATATGACTGCACAAAACTTGATAATAATTACCTCCTCATTGGCAATCAACGAATACCAATGAAATAGAAGATCTATGTGACAAAATTTTCCTACTAGAAAGACTTTCTATGTTCTTCTTCATTATCAACAGAAAAGATTTAACAAAACTGTCATTCCATATAGATCGTCGTGGCATGAACTAAAAAATTGAAGCTTCAAAATGAGATAAAAAATCACTATCAGATCCTAATCCTTCTATATAAAGATAGTCAAGCCTCAATTAAGAGGAAGGACAAAGCTTTGCTATAGAGGTTACAAATCTTTGTATGACTGAGCTTATAAAAGGAGGATACTTTGCATATATAAGATAATGTTGAACCTCTTTTAGGAGATGGAGTCCAAACCTACAAATTAGAATGAATTGAGAGATCTAAACAGCTCTAAATGATAATTTATTACTTTTGAAGGAGGAGTATTTAGGAGGTGCTTGTACTAAGATGTGTGGGATTGGCTTAGTCCAACTCATTCCATGCCCAGACAAGTCTTTTCTAGTAATGTTGAAATCTCAAAAATTATTTTAAATGTATGGACTCAATTTTTACAATTTTAGTTCCCAATGGAGTCTTTACAATTAGTTTCAAGCAAATTTAAGGAATTCAAAGTAAAAATTTTATTTTTATTTTTTTTATTTTGCTCCAATTGGCAATACCAAATTCATAAAAAACTAAAGTTATTATAAAAAAAAAAAAGTTTACTTGATTCACGGCCTTGATGGGAGGTCCAAGTTAATATCTTAAGAGCAGTCACGTCTTGTATATTTTTAAAATAAAAAATTTGGGATGAGTAATTTTTTTAAGACTGAACTAATATTTTAGAACAATATAAAGTTTTCATACATGAAAATACTGGACAAATGATACATCACAAGAAAATTCACTTGATCAATTTTCTTTTTTTAATAACAATTTTATACATAAATCCTTAATACTTGATCAATATGAATCTTAATACAATACTTGAATTAAAAACTTTTGAAATCAAATTCAAAGCAATTTGAACTCTTACTTCAATAAGATTATGTGCTTATAGTCAAATCAAGTGGCTCAATGAGACAAATCCAATGAGAAAAAGATTATTAAATTCCGAGGTCATTTTGAAACTCAAGTATTAAATAAATAATATATGATGAAATTGATCAATATAGACCGTTTGATAGATTATTTTGTATCCGGGTCAAATTTATCAAAATATCCCTCTAAAAAGGCTACAAAGATGGCTCCATTTTCTATATAGGAGAGTTTTGGTAGTAGATAGAGCCGAAGAACTCTATCACATTTCTTGATGATCATTGTTGATGACCATCATCAATAATCAATGCCATCATCATTTGATTTTCATCATCAAACTAATGTTATTCAAATATTAAAATCTAATCGTGTTACTAGATGTGATGCCCCAGAATCAAATAGTGAAAGGATTCGTCTGACATTCTGATCGAACTCCATTCCAGTTGCCTTGCTCGGACCTGAAAATTTCAACCACATATAATGAGCTTACAAAGCCCAGCAGGTCACCAAAGCCTACAACTGAAATCAAAGCACGGCGATACTATCAATATGCAGGTCAATCATCTCAAGTAAATCAATGGTCAATGAGTCTATGCAATGCGGAAATCCAGAGTCAATGAAATCAAGTCTGTACAGCGGAAATCAAATCAGTAGTCAATGCAGTATGGAAATCAATAGTCAATACTCAATACAGCGGTAAAAATATCGATAAATCAATACATTTCAGCAATCAAATCAATAAGTGACTGGAAGCCAATATCTATCCATCGTAGCAGTGTCTATCAATCAATACTATCAGTTCAATCAAT